TAATCTTTCAGCTGTTTTGTTTAATCTGTCAAGGAAGTATCTCCAGTTGCTGTTCTCTTCAGCCTAGCACCATGCATATGAGACTTCAATCCACTGTTTGTTGATTCCATAAGAGATACCACCTCATGGCAGGTTTTTACTGTTGTACATACAAAATAATTCTGATATTTGTATCACTGTGCACGTTATATCCTATGTGGTAGAAAGCAATTGTAAGCAAGAACTCTTCTACAGGAGCTTAGTTTAAAGAACTTTATCTCAGTAATGAGGAGAGGATATCTATAAACTAAGACTTCCAGTTCTGTCAAGCAGGAGAAAGTATACCAGTTTTACTTTTTAAATATACCAGCTTACTAATGATCAGTTTGTCTTTGTGTTATTTACTTTCAGTCTGTTAAATATTCACCATTATGTATTTGCATCTCATAGGACCCATAATGCATGGCTGCTGAAGAGCTCCAGCTGAAACTTGAATTTTCTACAGGACTATATTTTCATAGCAGTAGATGATGATTCTACAAAATATAGGTACAGTGCCTCTTCTCAGCTCCCGCTACTAGAAGCGAATCTTACCACCCTCTAATTGAGCAAAACTAAAAGCTGAATTTTGGCATTTTTAATCTGTTTACTCTAGCTTCTTAGGCAGACAAAACTAGAAATAATTTGCCATATCCTAAAAATTCAAGTTAAATAGGATATATTTTTGAGAAAGCTAAATGCAAGTACAGTCTTACAGGACTGCTTTAGTCCAAATCATCTGACTCTAAAACAGAATATGGTAAACTATTTGGTAAGTTGTTATTGCCTGTCCATTTGTATATAGCATTAACACAACTCCCTTTTGAAATGGATCAGTTGAAGCAAAACATTACCTGTTTGCACGTGGGTTTACACAGTTTTGAAAACAAGCACCATAACTTATAGCTCTTCCTAGTAGTAACTGCAAAAATGTTGCTGAGATTTAAAAATATATACATGTTCATATGCCCCCCCAGTAATTATGAATGCTGTCTACAGGCCCTCCAAGGCTTCAGTTCTTGTAGCTTATACGTACTTTTCCCAAGTACCTTCATAGCATAAGGTATTAGTCTTTTATATGCTTTGCTGTTAGCAGCCAGCACACAGCAAAATCAGCATCTTAATCACAAATGTAATATTGTGCACAACAGGTAGCCCTCCCTTGCTTAATATATACAAATTACTTGTTTTTGTCACTTTTCTTGTGGTCACTCTCTAACTAGCCCTTCCAGAGGCAACTTGAACCACTGACGTTGTTTTAAAGATCTTGTTCTGTGAGCTTTTCAGTCTCGTTATTTCTGGTTAATAATGTTAGTGTGTGTTTGTTTGTGTTTTTTTTTTTTACTCCAGCAATAAAACCACTACAGGTTTCAATATTCAGCTGTTCCACAAGTAAAGGGTAGCGATCACTTTGCTCACTTCACTAAAAAGCATCCACTTTGCTCCTTCCCTATGCGTTAAGGTCAACATTATCCCAGCCTCGCAAAGAAGGTAGAACTTTATTAGTTATCATTAAAAGTGCTTTATACCTTTGACGTGTCAAGCTGACAGACAGGTATTTTACAGTATAGTAGCCCACACACTATCCTCCAGTTATGGCAGTTCTCTTAAAAATTCCCATCATCTTACCCAGAAAGAGAACTGCAGTGATATTTACCACAAGTCTTACAAGAATGGGCTTTTGCTATACTGAAAGGAAGCCATCTGAAGTCTAGATTTCAATCTGTCTGCTTCTAGTTCTTGAAAAAAGGTGTCCTCATCGTTTTGCGTTATCATCGTCTGCAGTTGCTGAATTTCCTTTTCCATCTTTGATCTCAGTTCTCTTTTTGTTTTCTGCAGCATCTAAAGGATATACAGCGATTAGCCACAACACCCAAAGAGAAACCGTTTACACAAAACTAAAAATACTTACTTGTGCTTGTGCTTTCTCTCTGGTTTGGATTTCTTGGCGTTCTTGAGATAAAGCTTCTGCTAGCATGGAAAACTAAGCATAACAAATGTTTGAGTTGGAACTAATTAAAGAAAACAAGGGTTTTTTTATTAAAGAAAAGAAAACAGGCCACCCCCATTGACTGTCTTGGATGCAGATTACGTTTACCTGATCTTTGTAATAGTTCTCCATAGACTCCAACTCATTCTGATGCTCTCTCCTTTGCTCAGCACGCTTCTCTTGAGCATACGTTCTCAGGTCCTTCAGTCTTTGCTTCTGAATTTCTAAGCCTTCTTCAAAAAGGCTTTTAAATATCTGGCAACAATTAGAAGAAAAAAATGCAGCATAAAATAGCCCAGAAAGTTACAAAAGCTTGATAGTTTTTGGAAACACTAACATTCCTGAATAATAAGGTTTACAGTAACCTGCTTCATTTGAATAAGATGCTTTAAGTATACGTTTGTGTTTTCAGCTGCTCTATGCTCTGAATGGGTGATTACACTGAAGATGGGTCACTGCCCATGAAAAAGTTGACCATTATGTATCTAGTAATGGGGGTATGTCCACAGCTGAGCTGTATCTGTAATACTCAATTGGCTGGAGTTCTGATGTCAGTTCAGTCAGGTGAATAAGGAAGGGACTAGAAGAGCGCACATGTATCGACTAAGTTTTAAAAACACTTTGGAAGACGGGACAATACAGGCCAGAGTCTTCGAATGCACACTGTGGTTTTACAAGCCCCCTGCATTCTATTCTCTACCTTAAGGTCCTTCCACTGGATTTCCCAACAGCAGGAAATCCAGCCTGTACTCAGGCTTTTCTGTTCATACAAAGGAACGCTTAGTAGCTACACTGCCTATGCAGCTTGAGGCAAATAGTTCTCAAATCACTATAATGGATCACTGACCTTCTAGACCTGAGTTATAAAAGGTGAGAATGGTGCATTTACTGTTGCAAAATGTAATGAGTAAGTTAATTCTTAAAGAAGAGAAGTCGACTTCTCTCCTTAGTTCTCATGTACATCCCTAATGGGATATCACTGTCAAAAAGTCTACTTTAACAAACATGAACAAACAACAAAGCTGTCTTTTTTAATCACTTTAAGGGACTATTCAGATGACTTTCTTTGGCCAGCACCTACAGGAACAACTTCATCCTACTGCTTCTGAAAACTCCTTCCCCTAATTTCTCTTGCTACCAGCCCTCTCTTTCCATACTGATACCTGACCCTTTTTCTCCTTCCCTTAACCCTAGCAAGCATCCTTTCTTATTTTACAGTGGACTGCCCTAAACTGTGTCAGTGCTTCCAAAGAAGGAATCTTTTCATCTAGGACTTGGCTGACCAACCACTTAATCCTGGCTCCTGTGCTTTGTTTACTTAACTTGTCCTCTGTCTACTTGTACCATTATTTGAGCTACCACAGAGCAAGAATTCCACACCTGCAGACCAAGACATCTTTTACCTACCCTTTCTTCCCGTGTCCTGGCCCTCATCATCTTGGCACGCAGCTGAACCCGGTAATCGTCATAGTATTTCCTGGCTCGAGCAATTTGCTGGCGTTTTTCTCTGACTTTGTTTTGAGCCCATTTCTGTCGATAGATGCGTTGCTTAAATTCTTGCTAAATGGGGAATAATAGCCATAAGACCACCAAGCTTCCTGCAGGTATTGCTTCAGGCAAAGCTTTGCCAATTTCTACTAAGTAAATAGGGTCATTTACTGAGGAGCTTCTCCCTGCTCCAATTCTGCACTGGATTTATGGTTTGAAGCTTTAGTTGCCCCTGACTTAGCAAAGTAGTGCCATCAGCAGTGCTATGTAATTAAACACTAGCTACCATGGCAATGCTTAACAGTAACACCAGGAGCCTGAACTGTTTCTCCTCCTTGCATTTTCTTCAGAATTTGTTTATACTTTTATGTAATAATAATAATCCCTTCCCATGACCTCAGTAGCCACACAACAAACACATTGCATGGCATTTGAGACTAGAGCTACGCAAGAGACATAATACTGTCATAAAATAAGCAGCCACTTTCATTGGCTAGAGAAGTTGTATTCTAACTAGCTAGTTTCATGTTACATAATAAATACCATTCAAAGAACATACCAGCCTCTTGGTATGGTCTTGATCTTTTTTAATAATGTCAACAAGAAGCTCATGCTTCCTCAGGGCTTGTTGAACCTGGAGGTTAAAAAACAAAAGTTTTTTCCATTGTTCTGCAGGACAAATAATTGTATGTAGGTATTTTAGTAGAAGGGCAATGTTCATGTCTGCCAAATATTCTTTGCAGTAGAAAATTACCATGCATAAACTATCTATGACATACAAAAGTTAAAGGTAACTACAAAACTGTTTAAGAACTAGCACTTAAGCTTCCAAATGCTTTATAAAAAAAAAAAAGTGGTCCTATGCAGTAGCAGAAAAACTAGCATAGGAGATGAACACTTTATTCAAGTGGCTGATGCAAATTTGAACCCAAGTGTCTAGATACATACACCCCTATTCTAACTAATCATGTCCTCCTAGGAACATCCTAGCCATTTCAAAAATTGCTTCCCCAAAGACCAGAAGATTATTGTTTTGGCTCAGCTTTACTCACTGTAGTTGTACATGATACCCTGTCAGGAAATAGAAACAAACGGTGCAATACATCTTTAATAGAGATATTACTGCAGCCCTGAGTTTTACAGAAACAAAGCTTTCCTAGAGACAGCATATTGTCAATTGAGACTGCTCAGATTTTAAGCCACAAAGTGTCTGTCTATGCTACTGCCGAGATTGTCAGCATAGTCCTTAAAATGAAGGAAGCTAAAGTCATATTTGTAACAGATAGGGAAGTTTAAGAGAAAGTGGTATCCATGGTCTATCTCAAAGCTGGGTTATAACCATCCTCTCATATTGCACGTCAGCTGTATGTGCCCTATGCTGCACATAAAAAAAATCAACTGGTTGTTTATCTAATAAAAACTGAAGGACTACTACTGATCTGTCAGAGGTCCTGTCCGTGCTGAAGCTAAGAGGTAAGAATAACACTCACTTCGTTTTGGAGTTTCAGTCTAGTTCTGTCTTTGCCAGAAGAAGCTGCCTTAAGTTGTTCAATCTGTGCGAGCTGCTGCCGCCACATTTTATTCATGGTGTGGTGGGAAACATGCAGGTGAGGAAACTCTTCCAGTAGCAGAAATAGGAGCTCATCATCTTTTACTTTCACTACAAGGTAAAGACAGATGTAAGCAATAAATTCCTGGAGAATACATTTAGTGGTAAATTCTTCTAGACAGCGTCAACCTAAGTTATGAAATATTTTACATTGAGCATTGTATGCAACTAACATGCTATTATTATAATGTCAGGCTAAACCCAGCGGAACATAGCATCGCTGTGTCAGTGCAGCAGCTGCAAAAGTGGTCCCAAGAAAGTCTGCAGCAACTTAAAACGCTGCCAGTACAGTAGTAGCGGTGACAGATTCAGGTCAAGTAAACAGGTGGATAGTAGACTAGTTTGTGAACAACCAGCTCATTCCCAGTCTATCTTTATGGCAATAAAAGATGAATGGGAGATGAAACAAATGCATATTTATCAAGTATATGCCCTTTAAATACTGAAAAATAAGGCACTGTACCTGTATATTTAGATGTGTAGGGGATTATACCATGAACTTTTATATACGTATGCAGAATGCTCTTTGCCAAAACTGAGCCTGTAATTTGTGTGTTGGCTGTTCTTAGAACATCACTTGCTCAGCAAAACTAGTGGCAGGATTAGCACTACTATGGCAGGGGCTTTTCCTACCAAAGAAGACACTGAAAGACAGAAGATAGCAACCGACAGATTCAGCTCTACCTGCACAAGGGTCAGCACCAGCCCACTCAAGCTAGAGGTCTAATTTTAAAACTGATACATGCTCAGAGAAAAAAAAAAAAAAAAAAGCCAAGGTCAGAATGTAGGAGAGCAAAGACAGGAGTAGCAGTAATGGAAACAAGCCTTGAAAATAATCCAAGGGATTTTTAAGGAGGTAGCAGATGGGTCACAGTTTTGATTTGTGCATTAGTGGTTTACATTTACTTAAAGCATTATCTTCCCTAACAAAAATCCAGACATATGGAGGTCATAAGCAGGGGAAAATGCTACAGCTGACTGGTATATGTTGGACTGATGCCTTTATTCTTGGAGTTCAACACATGCTTTCAAAGGATGCCAGTTTTCCACCAAGTATAGTTTTGCAGTTCTTACTTGGGGCTGCTTTCTTTGGCTTCACAGTCCCTCGTTTTGGAATCCACTGGCTGTATTTGGGATTCCGAGGTGTGGTTTTTCTAGAATAAACTTTCACTGGCTGAGGCGTTTTTGGAGGTTCTTTAAAGATGTTTTCTTTGTATTCTTGTTCCTTAGGAGCAGATATAAAACAGATGGAGAACAGGTATGAGAAGGGAGAGACTGATTGATAGATCACATAGTTTGGATATCAGAACTTAAAAAAGGCTTTGAAACTTTAGAGTGAGAACCCAGCCATACTGAATTTGATTCTCCAGCAGGCCAGAATCTACTAAATGCAGGTCAGGGTTCAAATGAAGGTTAAAACTCACTATTGCATAACCTCAGTTCTTCTGTAGCACTTACACAACAGCCTATGGACTGCTCCCACAAAGGTTACAAAAACAGATAGCACAGCCCACCTTGGCATGACCTAGCCTTTCAGCGTATGTTCCTTGCTGTCCAGGCAATGCATAAGTAGTGAGAACCCCTTTGCCAGATTAATAACATTAAACCACTTTAAAAATTATTTAATAAATAAAAGAACAGACTATGACAATGTAAAACTATTGCCTGCACCATACTAGAGGATCCAACCTTATTAACCTAGCTGTTTTGGGGGGGGGTGAGCAAAGCACTCATCTGAAGAGCGACAGTTTCTCATTACTCAGACTTTTCTTGGACAGATCACTTACACAGAAAGGACACTAATACTGCTGTCTGAGTTCACATCATGTAAAGTTTAGACCTATCCATTGAAGCTATCTGCTTACTCACTTAACTTTACTTCTAAGTCAGAGTGTCTTGAAGTTATTACTCGATGTGAAAAGCAAGGTGATTAAGTTACCCCCCCTAAGAGTAATACCTACAAGAGCTGGACTCTTAAACTGCTTCTCCTTAGGTACCTCAGGAAAATCTGTTCTTCTGTTTACCACCGCAGTAGCATATGTCATATACAGTTCTACATAACTATGACACTGGAAGTCAAGGCCATTTGTACCCCCTCAAACACATCCACAATGTCTGGACTGAATGCCAAGACAGATTTTTTTTTTTTTAAATAACTAATTACTGTAGTGCATGACATACCATTTCGTTGGCTTTTTCTCTGAGCTTGGAGAGCCTAAGCCTCTCTCTAGCTTCATAAATTCTTAATTCATCTTCATAGGCTTTAGTCACCAGCTAGAAAATAAAGAGAGGACTTTGCTTGGATTTTACAGAAGAGATGACCAGTTCAGATGAGTGCCTCATGAACTTATTCAGTGTGTGTGTGTCTTCCTTCTCCCCCCCCCTTTATCCCCCCAAATTTAGGGTCTACATCTTTTCTCAGCCATCTACAAATATAACATTACAAAATTCATGGAGTAGGCCAAATGCCACCAGTAAAGTAAGGACATTCAATTTTAACCTTTTTAACATAATTGTTGGTAAGAACAACTAAGAGGTCTAACCCAGCAGTTACCTTTGCTTTTATTCTTTTTTCATCCCTTTCTTTTTGCAATTGGCTGCCTATTTTCCCCATTTGGCCTTTTTCAGCTCTACAAAGCATATCTTGTAACCCAGAAGAACGTTGATGCTGAGATGGGGGTGAGGATGGAGAAAGAGAGCGTGGCCTGCTTGGGTACCTTTTTAGGTGCGGTGTATCTGTAAGGAGAGGTAAGTGATTTGGTGAGTATCTAACTTGAAACAAAAAAACCTCCTGCCAAACGTAAGGAAAAAACACCCCAAAACTAGCCAAATCTTTCCACAGCAGAGTTGAAAAGTTCATATGAATTAATTCATAAAAAGCTGAAGCCTTTATACCTTCAGAGTCATCCCTCTACCCAAAATCACCTACTTTTTGGATTGTGTGATAGTAGAAGTGCCAGGAGATGGTCAAGATGGGAAAGCAAAAGGCAGCAAGACTATCTGAAGATCAGAGCCTGCCTATAAGCCAGGTTCAGAAACATCAGACCTCCATCTTGTAATATAGTATTGCACATGCTGATTAGATTGAGTTATGATAGTTTCATAGTCTGGTCTACATATAGCATGGTTTTATAATCATATTGCCACCAACACACAGTGCACCCTGTTTATAAGATACCTAGATGTACATGCTGTGTTCAGTACAGAAAAAAATACAGTAAAGGGTATTGTAAACAGGCCCTCATTTTAGGATCGTGGAGTACTGTTAATGAGTTTGTCTGTTCTGTACTCTTTCCACCTAATTTCTGTACGTTTTTTTTTTTCCCCCCTCCAGTGCAGCTCTGTTTGCCTTTTACTTCTAGTGATATTTCAGCATAGTTTTTTGGGTGTTTAACAGGAAGTTGGTTGTAATTCTGTTACTGCTGCTCAGGTTTGGATCTAAGAAAGAAAACGCAAGTGAACTAATGGCAATACAAAATCTTCTGGCAAAATATCCATCAGGTCAATGTATCTGCTTTACATGAATTAAAAAAGTTTTGTGGATGTTCCTTTCCATCCCAATACTTAAGTACCATAGGAAACATCATTACCTAGCTGAGTTTTCCTTCTACGATAATCCATGACACTGTCACTGTGCTGAGAAAGGTTATCTTCATCCGTCAACTCTTCTCTGGTATGCTCACCCAAAGCTCTCTTTAACATCTATAGAATAGATTTTTTAGGGGTCAGCTTCAGTAGGTCATTCCATAAAATTTAGAATTTAGATGTTAATTACAGGTTTCCTTTTCATCAATACTAAATTTATGTTCTTGTTTTCCACAATCATTACCAAGGCTAGATTGCTCAGACACCATAAAGAAGAGATCGTCACTTACTAGATCTAGTTCATTTAACCTGCGAGAGAGTTTTTCTGACATTTCATGTAGATCTTGCTCAGATAATTTTTCCTTTGTCTTTCTGTGGGAAATAGACTCTTCAAGTGAGTCTGTGGGAGAGTTTACATATCTGCTAAAAGAGAAAATGGATGCAACACATCTCATTTCTATTAAAAATAAACAAAGACAAAACTTAAAGACAAGCATTACCTCATACAATTCCAGCTCACTTTTTGCATGACTGCGTTTTTATGGGATTAAGTAAAAGCTGTGTAAATGACTTAAAGTATATGCCAGTTAGGAGAAACAGAAAAGATTTCTATTATAAGTGATCTTTCACTGCCTTGCGACCAAGAAGGAAGAGACGTTATCAGAGAAAGGAAAAAAAACAAGGCGGAGAGGGAAGTACACTAGAGCCTTACCTTTGTTCAGTACCAAAAAAAAAACCCACGAACTTGCCTTTTCTTTCCAGGCAGGTATCTTGATTCAGATCCTGTAGTTTGTGTTACTTGTTCAGTGCCTATTGAGAGTTCTTCGTGTAAGGGGGAAGTGGATGGGGAAGTTCCATATACCCAAGAAACCTGGAAGAATGAATGAGAGAGTAAGCTAAAATTCCATTAAGATTTCCAAGGTAAAGCTCAGAAATATCACAAATTATAGGAACACAGAGATCTTACTACAGCCTTTCTAGGACAACCATATGATCGTATATGTTAGTAGAGTGGTAAATAACAATATTGAGATCTGCAGAAATCATGGAATGAACATATTGGTAGGAAACAGGAATTAGTATGGAGTTTCATAACACATTCATTTAAACATCACAACGAGAGTGTCATTTCTCACACGAAAGGATGAGATTGTCGTCATTTGGTATCTGAGTAGCTGCCTAAAGGAACTGGTATTAGGTAGCGTAATACTTTCCTCCCTCAGCCAAACAGATATTAGAGATATCTAGAAGAGCTCAGAAATGTGTGAGCTCCTTCAAGCTCTGAGCTGAGCCAAACAACCTGGAACTTTTTTTCCTCCCCTCTAATTCTATGTTCTTGAGAACTGCACTAAAAGGAGGACTGGTGAAATTTTAGGATAGAGGCTTAAAAATATGAACGAGACCCTAAAAATAAAAAGGTCAGGAAACTATACTCATAGCTGAATTGCAGAATCTATGCCTTAAAGAGAAGCAGAAAGACAAAAAACATTACGTGGCATAGATTTTCTCTTGTGACCTCTTAAGCTATCTCAAAAACAAACAAAAAGTCCAACACACAGGAGGCAGTATTAACTATGTACGCTATATTAATAGCGGGGGCTCAGAGCGCAGGAGGAATGTAGTATTTGATGGCCCACCAGCTCTCCATTTGAATGTCAGAATACTGGCTATTGAAAGTAGTTTCCTTAATTTTAAGAAGGAAAGTCCATGCTCATTTTAGTTAATAAACATCTAATCCACTTCCCTTATTAATGCATAAGTTCTATCTATTCCTCTATTGTTTGACTGTACAGGTGACAGTCTAGTGCTCTAGCATAAGAGTCTAACTTCCACTCTGTTTCAAACAAAGCTGTCAATTCTAAGTGAAATTTTTTTGTACGTATCCTTTTATCCATTAGTAACTCCTTGTGTCCAGCGACAGACAACAAATGTAAAAGCTGTTGACAACACTGGAACAAGTGAAGTCTGAGTACCTCTTGTGGTTGCAGAAGGCAAAAAGTGTTTTCTAGAGAAGCAAATTCCTATACAGACATGCTTTGAGTGGAACGGCATCTGCCAATCAGTGTGTACGTTTTGCATCGTTCTTTTTTAAAGGCAAAGGAAGACGCAAGGAAAGATATGAAAGAATACAGCCAAGGCAGTTCAGCAATCTTTAAAGGGAGCAAAATCAGAATTTTACTGGAGTCTGAACAACCCCAGAAAACCAAAATTGTCTTTCTAAATTAGAATAGCAAAACACTTTAGAGAAGGATAGCTAATACACTTTAACTTTAAATAGAACCAAGATAACTAATAACTGGTTCTTTGTGATAAATGAGAACGCTAGAAACTGACATTTATACCTCTTAGAGCAAAACATCTCCTTGAGAAAGAACTAATGTGGTTTATAAACTGTATGCAGTCATAGTCTAAACAGCACTATTTCACATTGTACTGACATAAGTGAGAAGGCTAAAAGCAGATTTTAAAACCCCTAAAACTTCCACAAGATAATGGAAGAATTAAATGGAAGTCCCAAAGTACTGTCTTAACTTCTACAAATAAGGAAAAGATGCAACAACTACCTTTGCCACATTGTCCTCAGCACCACTTGAGACCGCCTTGTCTCTCACTGCAAAAGCAAATGACATAAAAGCCTTAGTGGATGGCATAGGCTGCATTGTGCCTACTGATTTGAGAAGCAGATGTGATCACCTGTGGAACTAAATTATTCAGAGAGAACAGGATGACAAAGCAATTGTAGTTACACAGTTGTGATATATATCCACTTTAGTAATTTCTTGTAAGCTTTGAATTTGCAGTGTCATGGGAATGCTATGGAAACTAGAAAGGTAACCAGGGTCTCCTTGGCAACAGAGAAAAATAAGCACTGAAAACTAGCTTCTAAGCCTTTTCTACAATAGGAACGTTTTACTGCTTTTTCCTCAAGCTGAAAAAGGCTTTTTGGGCCGTGTTTAGAACGATTCTGTGCTCAGAATAAGCTCAGCCATAGCCATTATCAGGTAGAATCAATTTCTGTAGCACAGATGAATCTTAATGGTATTAACTAAGAAAGGATTTTAACTGCAGACACAGATTATTCTTCTCCAGCGCAGTAAATAGCTTGGATTTAATCTATTTTGTTTCCCTGTATCAGTTAAGAGAAATTTGCTGTGTGCCCAAATAGCCACCTTTACAAGCACTAATAGTTTCAAAGCCCTGCTGCTTGTATTGCTATTAAAATCAAAAGCAACATTTGACACTTAGAATTGCCCTACAGGAAGCAAAATTCTCTCTCACCAGGGCTTTTCCTTGACAGAGGAACACCTCCAGAAATGCCTTCAGATTTTTGTGCAAGTGATGCCTCAAGCTGAAAGAAAATGCAGGAGTTTTCTGTGAATTCACAGGAGAGTTTTGACAGGAAGGTCATACAATAGGTTTGTCTGCATTTGGAAATAGATGTTGCTTTATATATATATAGTTTATTGTATTGCAAATGATATTGTTATAGTGACCATAGATAAATACATGGAACACACACATCTCAGATTAACTTCTTGTCTAGACATCCCGTGAAAAATGCATTCACAATCCAAGTTTGTGTAATACACTCGGAAAGTAGATCAAACCTGTTGATATGAAGACAAATTCTCACCGACACATTCCGAACTGTACTTCAGAGCCCAATTACTCACATTCTACAACTACACTAGAAGAAGGTCTTAAAATGAAAGCAGAATAAATAAAACCAAAGGATAGGTTTCTACTTACTGTAGGAGTTTCCAGTCCTTTACTGTTAACCAAAGTTGCTGACTGGCTGTCAGAGCTTTGATAATCTCCCCCTACAGGATAAGGGGGCCTGGTTTCAGAAGGCTGAAACGGTGGTAGCAAAGGAATAGCTTGGCGTATAGGCTCCCCAAGCTTTTTAGCACTGGAACTTAAACTCTCTTTGTGACATTCAGTGGTATGAACAGACTCTGTTGATCCTTAAGAGAAATATGAAAAACTCAAAGTTTATCTATGAAAGCAGACTAGACTAAGCAAGTTCATTTTGTATATTTCCCTTACACATTAGATGGAAGGTATCTAACAGGTATCTTTGTTGGATTACATAAGAGTACTGTACAATCTGTGTGTCTTACTATGATACTTTTCTTCTGTGTTTAGAGATAACTATTGCAGCCCCTCCCCTATTACATTGTTTTTTTTGTTTTTGGGTTTTTTTTTTTAAATAAGAGCATCACATTTATTTCACAAGTATAGAATGAATATACTGCTCTCAAAAGCAGTAGGGCTTACTGCATGGGGTGTAGCTATGTGCATTCACAGTATTTAAAAAAAAAACTTTAGATTTGCTGCCTTTTTGCAGAAAATCTGGTACTTTAGACACATGTCAAGGGATACCTGACTATGTGCAGGATGGGATTTCCGAGCATGGACAGAGCCATAATTGGCAGAGGCCAAGGACACCAAAAAAGATGGTTGTCACCTGCCAGAAGGATTCACCCAGCCCACAGTCTATCCATAACTGTCCAAGAACAACATGAAAGCCATCTATAGAACATGATTTCAGATGCAAGGAGCCTCCAAGAACGCTTAACTTTTAGTATTTGGTTAGTTGAACCACAAAAGAAGCGTCTCCACAACCTAGCTAAGTAAAAATAACCCAGATCATGCAAATTCCACTCCGTTGGATACTAAAATATAAAGGCCCAAAGTTTCTGAAGGTGTTTCTTGTTTTGTTTTTAATAGCTACAGTGCTTCCATCTACGGCTACGGTTCTCCCCTGCCCCTAGTCAAAAGGGGTTAGGTTAGATACCAGAAGACTGGATACTCATGATATTCTTTCTTTTTACAAGGGCTCTTTTATTTTGGACAACTGTCTAGATAATGGTACAATGGCCTCTGAGTGTTTAGGTTCTTCTGTTCCCTCAGAATTGCCCATTTAGACTCGTAAAAATTCAAGGAACTGGCATTCTAGAAGTAGCGTTTAAAAAGATCAAATCAAAACTCTAATGCGTCTTGTTATGAACTGTTTATTTAGGTAAGATAAATTGTGCTGCTGCTTTCATCTGCATATCTGATGTTCAAAAGCTGTGGACTGTTCCTTTTGCTTCTAACTTCGAGTGAAATCATACGTATACGTGCCTATGCAGAAACAAACATTAAAGAGACTCAAGTTTGAGGGAAGTTTCAAACCAAAGTGAGGTTTGATTTCGTTACTTTACTCATGTATTTACCAGAGTCCATTGATACATTTTAAAGACTGCTTCTAAAGCAACAGTTTTGATAATGCACCTCCAAAGCCTAGAAATGTTACTACAGAGTAGTCTTAAAAGCGTATCTAATTACTGAACTCACCTTCCTCCTTCTCAGAAACCAATTGAGCGGGATTCCCAAGTCTAATTAATTCACTAGTAGATCCTGATCCATCCACATCACAAGGTTGAACAACAGTTTCCGACTGAGACCTAAACAGAACATAAACCAGTAAAATGTATTTATTCTAAAAGTCTTTGCCTCTTTAGTCCACAAGATGGAGCTACAGAAGAGTCCTAATTCTACTTCAGTTAGCTAGCTAGTATCCTTCAGGAAACGAGACCAACTTTCACAAAACAAACCAATAAAGACAAGTCTAATGTAGTTTCACTAAAATGCAGTCATTTAAAACTAGCAAAACAAAAAGCTTTGAGCTCACTTTACTCCATGTGTAAAGTAAATTCAAGGGAAAGTAAAAGCCTTTAACATTCTTCATGAGCAAAAAAATTCTGGATCTAATTTTAGCCCTCTTGCTGCCCAGCAAGAGGAGAAAGTTACATCACATTCCATTTGACTTATGTAATCGGTATGTTTCCTACTTGCATAGTATTAAAAATATACTAGCTGTTCTACAGAAGTGCAAAGAGATAGTCAATCACTGCGTCAAGGCAAATATTCATAATTCTTCTTACCCTTTAATAACTGATGAGAGTTTTGAAGGCAGTGCAAGTTCACCAGCATCACTTTCTAGCTGCTCTTGAGGTGCATTTTGAATTTTGTTATTAGACAGAAAATGTGCATCATCTGTTAATAATCAAGATGCATTAGTTTTCAGGAAAACTACTCATACCTAATAACTAACAGTTATTATTGCTGATATCATCAAAAACATCTTAAGACTAATACAACATTATAATGGTGATATCTAAAATACGTATTTTTAAGGAGTCATCTTTGACTCCTTAAATTTTGGAAAACGATACAACTATCGTATACCGTATTGTTTCAACTACAAAGTCCTTTATTCTTCCTCAAAAGAATTAAATCCTGTACTTAGAAAAATCAGAGCCACTAACACTTACTGGGTAGCACTACTGGCAGAAGTCTATGAGAAAAGGAAAGAAGTAGCACAAGCGCTGAGGATTGCTACCACCTCCTTTCTGCCCTTCACAGTGAAGCAGGACAGGTAAAAATTAGTCTCAGCCACCAAGCGCTCTCCCCCTTCACTCACAATGCGCAACAGCCAGTGGTGACAGCTCTTATCAGCTAAGGGACAGGAAGACCAGCACTCAGTCTGCAGCAGCAAGGATGCCTCTGAAGGCTTGACTACCTTCTCTTCCCCTGTTTACAATTTTTCCTCAAAATAGTTCCTGCTATGAATCTGACCCCCCCCCCCCCCCCCCCCCCAAGACCACCTTCACAGGGAAGTTGAAACCATCACCTCATTCCCCGGTTTGGCTCCTAGCAAGTGAAAGGGAGGTTTGTTCACTGTTCTAATTAGGAGTCAAATACTCCCTCCCCTCACTCCCAAACATCAGTCATTTGACTTACAAGTTTAAAAAAACATACTAATAGAATCTGGAGTAACCTTTTGCCACAAAAATGAAGCAGAAAGTATATTCTTGTGTGTGTGTGTGTATACACCCCCCCCCCGACACACACACACCTTTTAATAAGTTTTTTGGTGGGGGGAGGAAGCAACTTCTCATCATTGTTGCTTAAGAAAATAATGAATGCAAGTACTCAGTTTGGCTACTGAGTTTTTCCCCTTGTGGTCAATTTCATTCTCTCCTCTTCTCCATTGCCTAGGTTATAAATAAGGCAAAAAGACCAAGCAACTTTGCTGCGTTGGAAACGCTTTGTTTGATCTTGTGCATCCCAAAATAAGGTTCCACAAAGCTCACATTTGAAGTGGCTATAATTCCCTCTAGTTGCTAGTGAAGAGGAAAGGGACAGTTCTCCTCTTATGGGAGCTGTATTCCATCCATGAACAAAACGAACTGTGGTCATGAGAACCTAATAAAGCCCTCAGCAAGCTAACTTGATAGCAGACAAGTTATCAAACGTAAAAAGATGCTGCCCATAATAAAGTAGCATGACATAATACCTTGAACTGGGACGTCCATCCACTCACCTCCATTCTGAAAAGCGGCTTCACTGACTTCTTCTGTAAGATACTCTAGCAAACCATCAAATATTTCAAGGAGGTTTCTGATAGATTCCCTTTCTCCTTTCACAATGTTCTCACCTTAACAGAAGGTTAATAAATTAGTACTTCACAGAAGGGGGGAAAAAGAAAAGTAACAGCAAACAACAACAGCTTGAAAGTCTTCAAGAGTTTTATGGGAAAAACTGCTTGGAAATCTTCTGAAGATTTCAGCTCAGAAGACAGCTGCATGTATATACAGATGTATGGCTACATCTGTAAGGGTAAGATATCTTAAAAACTTCCTAAGAGTTTGTATTTTCAGCTCTAATAATTGAAAGCTTATTGATGCTACACTTGCTTCCATTAAAAACAACAACAAAAATCAATGTTAGAAATGGTACACTTGATTCTCAGGAAAAAGAGAAAGCTAGCAGAGAAGGCTGTTGAGAATTAACCTACATTGTGGTTGCTTCAGTAGTTGTACTATAGCCAAACCAATCTAGAATTTCCACCTTCAGTTTTTCAGAGATATTTGATATTTAATACTATTTTCTTGCACATGCTTGCTACAGAACAAACTAAGTCTGTTGACAGGCAGGCAGGAGTACAAATACCAGCCATTCTGTACAGACAAAGTATTTCTTGCTACCTTGGTATCAAGCACCCTGTTTCACCTCTGTACGCTAGGCTATTTAAGGCTATGCACATACTACCCCAAATGAATGAAAACTGTGTGAGAAGGACACAGTTTTGTTTTTTGTTTCCTTTTTTGTTGTGACACAAAAATTTGTGTGAGAAGGACAAATACTACATGGGCCAAGTTTTTACACATAGCCTCTTCAAAATTCAATATCAAGTACTAAATTCAAGGCTCATGTTTTAAAGCCCAGTCTCCGAACTTGAACTGCAGTCAGGAAAATACTGAGCCAACAACAGACTTCAGGTAACATTTAAGCAGGCAAGTGAAGTATGATTGTTAACTTTCACACTTCCTATAAGGTTTGTGTTATGCAAGAAGGCTTCTATTTATTCTCTGCTTGCTGCCTAAATTTATAACCTGATGTCCAAGGCAAGGGCTCAATGTTTTGCAGATATTCATTACAGGTATAAGATTCTGCGCACAGGTATGAAAGTGTGCTCGATAAGATACGGTTCTTTATAAAATGTTGAAATCAAACCAAAGATATGTTCAGCTGGTACCTGTGAACATTAATGCGAGTACTCACCAGTGATGTGTGACAAGCTGACCTGCAAGTAGTCCAATGCCAGAGAATCTATCACTGCCTGTATATTATGTGCATCATCTTCTTGGCTTCTAGGGGTCGCTATGAAATCTGTTTAAAATAAGCAATATATTATAGGTTACCTAAATGGATAATATAACTGCAGATGTTTCAGCTAACCTACTTTTTAATTTTCACTTACAAATTAGTATCTTTTAATATCTTGAATACTGATAAGAAGCCCAAAGATATAGTCCTAAGAAAGCTTGATTAGATACTGACTACAAACTTAGAAAAGTCATTCAAAGATGCAAGGATTTTATCAGCTGAAATAAATAGAGACTAGTAAAGTATTTTTTCTCCTTCACTCCTAGCATGCACATGTGTGCACACACACATCTAGTTCAGAACACCAAATTGGAATTAGTTTGTCTCCTTTCTTCCCGTATCAATAACTAGCAGCACTGCAGTGTGTTCTAATCTTAATTTGGAGCAGCATTATTTTTAGTTTTGGGCATGTATTCAACAGGTTTTCTACCTCAATTAGCTTCCAGTTAATTCAAGGCTATTAAAATCTTCTAGAACAAGAAGTCTTGACACTTCCCAAACACACACAGTTTACCCTAAAGCAAACACAAAGACGTAGTTGTATGGCCCTTGCTTAATTGGTGTCACTGAAATCAAATGGAGTTGGGATAAACAGGATTTATATCATAGCCTATCACTTAAGGGCATATAAATATCAAGCATTTATTAGAATAGGATTCTGCATTAACACTTATTCAAAATGAGTAAGCAAGTTCACACCCTTTACAAGTATTGTACCTATGTATACATTCAAGCCCTAGTTTACTTTAGAAAAAGGTGTCAGTGTAGCCATACTAGTAAATGCTCCTCATAGCTGCAGTTCATAGCAGCAAAGAAACATATTTGGCCAGAATAACTTAAGTCTGCTTGGAGGATCCCGGTCTTGATGCGTATATCTTTGGAAGGATACAAACACTGTAAAACCCATACATCTGTAATGAACAGTCTATGCCATCACGTTTCAAGTGAGAGAACTAGAAAAGACAGCATAACATCATAATCAATGTTTTCCCTTCTAGATCTTCAAGTTAGACAAGCAACTGACTTAAAAATATATATGTATAATTCATATCAAAATTAACAGGGACATCAAAATAGACCAAATAAGGCAGCCTCCCTAGTATTAGCTTATGATAATCCTTTAGGAAAATAGTGAATTCACATTTAATGTTGAAATTGGGGAGGGGGAGGGGGGGGTGGAGAAAAAGATGTAACACTACACGATAATCATTTCCCCACTGCATGTGTTTTAAGAAAACACTGCTGTTAAAAGCATGACCCTCGGAAGATAAAAAAATAGTTTCTGACGTGATTCCCTTGACCTTGTAATAAAGTCAATGTAAAAGGTTTGCATCCCAGTTAAATTCACTGGAGACCAGAACAAGAAATTTTGCTTATATTATACCCTCATTGTCTTTGTAACACTTAACCATTTCACAGGTACCTACTACCATCAGCTTCATCCCTAAACCCTTTTACTACAGTGGGTTTGTCTAGGATAGGCCAAGAAGTTCTAACAGAGAAACTACTAGGTCTAAGTTCAAAACAGACAAGATGGACTGTTATCTGAATAGTCAGCCCCTACAGTTGACAGCATTATATCATCCAAATATTCTGCCACTACAGTAATCAGCCATCCACGTTAAATGCAGTATGCAACACTTGCATGTACTTAAAAGCATTAGATTACTCTGCCTGCAAACATAGTTCCAAGTTCACCTTGATTTTGGTCGTTACTGAATATATATGGGGGAGAGGGGGAAAAAGCAGATTTAGAAATTAATGTTCCCACCTGGTACTTTTTCTCCTAAAATTGATTCATAAAGACGAACGAACACATCAGCACCACATTCCGAAAGCTGCTTTATGTGCTGGTTTATGTGACAACTCCTTAAAAGATCATTGGCGATATCAACCCAGGCTGTTAAGAAAGAACATTAATGATGAAGCTAAGAGACAGGAATATAAGACATGGTTAATTACAATGAAAAAGGTATAGGGGACTTAAGACTAATCTATCTGCTTGTGACTCTGCAGTATCTGGTGTATCCCAGTCATGCCACCTGATCATCCAGACTAGAGAACCTGTTAGAATCCACCATTACACTTTGTCCCGTGCCCCAGATAAAGAGCAAGAAATTATACACGCCAGCACCTCATTCAAGTACCTAGTCAGGACACAACTCGACCTGAGAGCTGTAGGATACTGAGGTACCACAGTTAGACAGTTTTTTCTTTACTGACAGATAAATGGAAACCAAATTTTTCTCTTGACTGCATAACAAGGAATTCCAAACCTTGAAAGACTTATCTCCAGCATCAGTAAAATATTGACACGTATAAATAACATTTTTCTATAATTTGACCGGTGATACCAAAAGACCTTTTCACTCAAACCCATCCTTTGCATTACTTTCTCACTGACATCCAATGCTAGGGTGATGAGAGTTCAGAATTTGCCCTTCTGCTAGTCAGGGCATCTTTGAAGACATCATAAATTTAAGTTATAGGTTTTTAAGTTAAAAGCATAACCTGACAATCTAGATGGAGGGAAAAAAAGTCTTTAGCATCGCTTCATCAAGAACTAGAAACAACATACACTTTTTGGAAGAACATGAGCTGATCTCTTACAAACCCAATTTCCTGAATATCCTTGGCAATGGAAACACTGCTCATGTAAATATTCATCATTAAAACTAAATCCTAGGACTGCTTTTATTATTTTGCTGTTCAGGTATTACAAGCATATGAAACTGCCCCCCCAAAGTCTCATGATATGTTGAGTGCAATGAGAAGCATGTGCATATGTAGACTATCTTTTCCAAAATTTTCTCTTTAAAAGTAATGAATTCAGAGTGGTTTAGAGTACATGTTTCCTCTACAGTTTTCCTTGCCACACACTGCAAATAATAACTTGAGGGAAAAAAAAAGTTTTCATATGTCTGTTAGTCTATGATTTTTTGAGATTTGATCTTCCCCTACATATTCATTTAGCAAAGAAAATATAATTTTTAACAAGTATTATCAAGGACTTTAAATTGCTAGAAATGGGATAAGACATCTGTGCAAGAAAAAAGAAGTACAGCGTTACTACTACAGATACTACCGTGTCCCGCTGTTTTCCTTGTGTACACAGAGGAATTACATTTCCATCTATCACCCCTTCACTCTGTTCCAAGAGACACCTTACCCTCACACTTTGTTTTCAGGTGCACGAAACATTAAAGTAATATCTTCTACAGTTCAGGCTGACAGGTTCTAGAAAACTTAAGGTTACCCTTTATTTCCAGCTTAAAAGAATCACTAAAGAAAAAGGAGGGAAGGGACAATAAAAAGCATAAAAAGTCACAAAACAAAAAGGGAAATCGTAAGGGAAAATAAGCATGAATAAAGTGGAGGCGATTAGCGAGCAGCAGAAAAGAGACCAAAGGGAGGTGAAAAGGCTACTTCTCACCCAGCTCCCACCTGTAGGGCACGAAGGTCGGCCACCTCTCCGGCACCCTCGCCC